AAAACGCGCAACAATATGATTGAACGTCACATTTTTCCTCTTTTCATCTTACTTTGATTTATTTTGGCTTAATCGATTAAATTATCTACCCATCACATAACGGCGCCAAACGTCAGCTTTATAAATTATGAATATCAACGGCAACTGTAACGTCAAACAGAAACAGGAACGCTAACGGAAACTGCAAGTTTATAAATAGACCTTAACTTGTACCGTCTATCATAAAACTGCAAACTGACATCAGGATCATCCTTATATAGCTTGCTTGACCCTTCTCGAACTGTCGTCTAGAATATTCTTGACAGGTAATGACATTTCGAGACATTTCTGGACTATTCAATCTTCTTCATTTACTCATACCTTTACTTATGACGACCGCAGCACGCTGCATGGTGCTGCGTAACAATATTGTGTAGATCAATGTCGCGGATTTTGTTGCGCGGATTATTGTAAACCCCTACTAACGTGATATTCCCGATTTTGATAAAACAATTAGGCATTCCAACGACCTGTCAAACAATAGGTGCCAGTGGGAAATTCTGGTATATTTAAGGGGGTAGCGACATAGTCTTGCAACTTGGACGCTATTTTTATTCGAAGTAGTATTCGCCAAGCCTGCCAATTTATGAAGAAATGTATAGGTGGGTTTTTTAAATATTATTTTTATTGTGTTTGACATAAAATATTCAAATGTAATCCATTATTCATGATTTTACGTAAAGTAGATATAATACACCATATGTCGCCACCCTTAGATATACCAAACCTGCCCACTGGTAATTCATTTGTTTGGAATGCCTAATTGTTCGATTATCGAGTTTACTTCTATACTGGGTGTGAATTTAATGTTGTTTTTTACACAAATAGCTATTTCCCCTGATCTCGCGTTATTGTGGTTGTCTTTTCTTGTGATCATATACCCTTTTAGTCTGAATATGTGCCTATATCTAGGTTAATCATGAAAAACGGAGTTGATATTCAAAGTCAATGTTAACTTGGGTAATAAAACAAAAAACATCAAACTACGTACAAATAACTTGAAAATCACTTATTAAAAAAAATGTAATTATATTATATCATATTTAATTTAAATTAGGCGAGCTACAAAGCTGTCATGTTTTCCGCTCGGCGAGCGACAAAGCTGTCACTTAATGTAAGTTCGCGAAAAACGTCAAATTTGCGGTTGTATTTCGAAGCGCAAAAGCCTACTTTGAATAGTGATCGTAGAAAAAGTGTATTTATTCTGGTATAATGCGGTTTTTGAATAATTTTAATACAACTATAACTAAATAAAAACAGTGTTAAACATGGAAGCATGGCATTCAAGGACGATATGCCGCTCTTCAGAATGCTTTAGACTAAAGGGTAAACTATAAATGCATTTTGAACCCCCAGGTGGTGACAACTCTAGATAAAGATTGTATAAGAATTTTTAATTTCAGAAAAGTCATTTGCGCCGCTTTCTCAAAAAAAAAACACCTATAAAAAATGTAAACTATGAACAAATGAACGGAAATCATGAGGACATTGAATTGGACCAACTGTGACCAACATACCAATTTGTAGCTTTACTCTAAATCTTTTCCTGGCCTATTAGTGATAGTGGCAATTAAAAAAATTCCTTTTATTTATTTTTAACTCTTTGTTTTTTCTTTGTTTGTGGAATGTGATTAAATAAAATATGTTTGTTTGTATTTTTGTTTTTAGTAATAATTTTTGATATGAATTAAAAACCTTAAAAAACCTAAAAAAACATAATAGTCCTTAATAACCTAAAAATCTACTTTTTTTAAATTCTTTTGTCATCATATTTTAAGAGATATATAATTTTTAATAATCAAATTCATCAGTATTATACTAGAATAAGAAATAATTTGTTAAGTACCTACCTAAATAATCAAATAAATATTAACTTTTAAAGGATTTATTAATTATAACAGTCTATCTGAAAATATAAAATAATCCACAAGTTTCAAGTATTTTGATTAAAATAAAAGTAATTCACTAAAACAATTTATAAAAAAAGAAGACAATATCAAAAATAGGATATTTGTATTTACATGTAATTTAAATAATTTAGTACTCATAAATACTCCATTTAATATTTTTTACATGTTTATATTTTTACTTTCCTATCTATATACAGATATAAGGAAAGTATAGGAATCATGATTTTTTTCGACCTCGAGTTTTCGACGGATTTTTACGTTTTGAGGTCCCCTGAATCCGTTTTGACTATTTTCGCGATGATGTCTGTGTGTCTGTGTGTTGCATAACTCAAGAACTGATACACAGAAAAACATCAAATTTTAAACTTAAGCTTTATTCCAGCGTCTAATGAACTGATTAGATTTTGGGCAGAGTCGGAACATCTGGGGGGTACTTTATTGGTGGTCATTTTTATATTTTATGGAATATATCTGTTATTTACGTTTGGAGAAGAAATTTTTTTAAATAAAAGTTACTTCTAATAATATTATCTATAATTTTTGTTTTATACAAAATTTTCCTAAAATGGTCCGTATTCGAGAAATTTAACAAAATGTAAAAAAAAATATTTTTTTTATAAAAATTGTTCAAATAAAAGTTGTTTGTAATATAATTCTCTATAATTTTTATTCTATACATAATTTCTCTAAAATGGACCGTATTCGAGATATTTGAGAAAATGTGTAAATTTCGAATTTTGAAGAAAACTCAAAAGCGGATAAAAAAAACATTAAATTTTAAACCTATGGTTTATTTCAGCCTGACGTAGATTTTGGACAAAGTCGGAATATCTGGGGGGGGGGTACTTTATGGGAGGCTGTTTTTATATTTTATGAAATATATCTGTTATTTATGTTTGGAGAAGAAAATTGTTCAATTAAAAGTTACTTATATTATTATCTATAATTTTTGCTTTATGTCAAAATTTCCTGAAATGGTCCATATTCGAGAAATTTGACAAAATGTGCAAAATTCTGATTTTTATGAAAATTGTTGAACTGAAAGTTGTTTGCGATCTCTATAATTTTTGTTTATACATGATTTTTCTAAAATGGACCGTAATGGAAAAATTCTAGGAAAAGTGCTAATTTTAAATTTTCGTTTTCAATGAATATCTATAGAAAAATGTTTTGAGATAGATGTATGAGGAAAATATATATATTTAGGTTATCCTCTAAACATTTATAGCGGTGCTGCAATAGGTTGTACAAAATAACCAGAAAAAGCCTATAATAACTAGATAGGAAAGTCATGTGCTGGACACATCAGATTTTTTGTACAGTCTATGCCTATGCCACTGACCATATTAGGTGTTGTTGATGTCATGATTTCTATGAATAATAATGTTGAGTTTAAGAAAAGAGGACTGTTTATTTTAGGATAATGGGTAGTGTGAATAATAATTATAATAATTCGTATTCACAAGTTCTAGCTAAAAAAATTATTAATTGGAAAGTAAGCACAATTTGTTACCAATTTTCAAGTAAAAGCAAATGCTTAATTTTTATTCACACTAGGTACCCAATGAGTCTCTAAAATATTTCAACCAGTACTCACATTACTTTATAAATACAGTATTATATTTCACATTATAATTTTGCTGCTCTTGATAATTCTTGTTTAAAATTTGATAGCATTGTTTTATTTACAAAATCAAACTGTGAAGTAGTTTACACTATCTTTTTTCATCCCCAGTATTGGTTAAAGTAGTATGCATAAAAGTATTACAAATTTTAAAAAACCAACTTCAAAATCATGCAGATGCCATCACATCTTAACCAAATTTATATGGGACCACCCCTGAGGTACCCCCTTACTAACAAAAAAAGAATCATAGAAATCGGACAAGGTGGTAAAGAATTATCACTAAACATACATAAAAAATGAAGAGTTTGAGGATTTTCTGATGGATCCAATTATTAGATTTTGACAAAATTTATATGGGACCACCCCTAGGGTACCCCCTTTCTAACAAAAAAAGAATCATATAAATCGGACAAGGTGGTAAAGCATTATTGCTTTACATAAAAAAAAATAAGAATTTGAGGATTTTCTGATGGATCCAATTATTAGATTTTGCCAAAATTTATATGGGACCACCCCTAAGGTACCCCCTTTCTAACAAAAAAAGAATCATAGAAATCGGACACTGTGTGAAATAATTATGGCTGAACATACATAAAAAAATATATATTGATGAATTGAGAACCTCCTCCTGTTTTGAAGTGGGTTAAAAAACAAGTATTAGAAATTAAAAATTTTAAAAAGCTGACTTCAAAAACGTGCAGATGCCATCACCGCATCTTAACCAAATTTATATGGGACCATGTCTGAGGTACCCCCTTACTAACAAAAAAAGAATCATATAAAACGGACAAGGTGGTAAAGCATTATCACTAAACATACATAAAAAATTAAGAGTTTGAGGATTTTCTCATGGACCAAATTATTCATTTTAACCAAATTTATATGGGACCACCCCTGAAGTACCACCTTTTTAACAAAAAAAGAATCATTGAAATCGGACCCTGTGTTAAAGAATTATCGCTATACATAAAAAAAATATATTGTGACGAACTGATAACCTTCTCCTTTTTTGCAGTGGGTTAATAATAATTAATGACAGTTAAATATTGTAATAAAACAAAAACTAGGTCATATTTTTATATCCAGTATAATATGCTGTGAATCCCCCAAGCAATTCAACAAAAGTAGATTAGAATAGAACACCTAAAGGGGGTTCCCACAATATTAGCAAGTGTTGCCATAAGAAAAAAATTTTAAATAAAATATATTCATAAATAAATATAAAAATATAATAGCCAGTTATTATCAATAAAAAGAAAAACGTTTTCAAAAACAAAAAAAATGCTATTTAAACATGCCAAATCTAATGATCAAAATTTTATCATGTATTGTTTAAGTAATATATCTACATAATAAAAATTAAAATTGCATCATATTAAATGATAAAATAATACATAAAAATGATTAATATTTTGCATTCTTACCTTATTCATATAAGAGACGAACCATTCTGGTGGATTTTCTGAATTGCAGCAAGCAGATACAATGGACACAGGTTCAGTATCAAACTGAGTCTCTACATCATTTGAATGACGACTGCTTCTTTGACTCTGTTGTGGCGGCTCAGAAATTCTGTCCAACTTCAAGTTCACGATGTCGCCCATTCTGGCCTTACGTCTGAAAGCGTAAAGGGCGATTTGAAAATCGGTCTGAGACTCAATGGGGAATTCCCTATTGCTGTCTGTAATATAGGACACTTTCACATCTTCACCTACTGTGCCAGAGTTTTTCAACTGTAAAAAAATTTATTAGAACATCAACTATAAATATTGAAAATGACATTACCAAGTAGGATTTGAATATTTCCCAATTCAATGTTGTTGCAGGGATATCATACATTCCAATAATATTTGCTTTGTCACCACCATTTCCAGATTTGTTTTTCCACTGCAAGCTGTAAATAATCTCCAGATCTTTCTTTTTAGACCCCATTATGTGTGTTAATTAAGCAGCACTACTGATTTTTGATGACAGCTGCTATTCTTTTTGTAATTTTCGATAAAAATGTAAAGGAAATTTCCTATTCTTTTTTGTTATTTATTATTACGCACAACTCCAAACATACAAACATGCACATCTGAGCACACTGTTGCCAAATCTCGTTAGTTAGTTTTTATAAATGACAGAAAAAGGGGGGTGGGGTAGAGTACGTTCAGTAAGGACCGATTCCACCTTTGTGTTAAACGAAGTTTAAAATGAAATTTTTACATTAAGGGCCGATTCCATCATTATGTTAAACGGAGATTAAAATAACGGGTAAAGTTGCAGGAAAGGTATGTACTGACGCGCATCCTGGCCGCGCATATAAAATAATTTTTTTTTTACACATTATAACTGTATAAACGTTATCAGATTGCTACTTTTATATTATTAATAAATAATATCTAAGTAAAATAACAAATAAATAAATAAATCAATAAATATAAACAAATACGCGATAAATATAACGATGTTTACATATGCGCGGCCAGGATGCGCGTTAAGTACATACCTTTCCTACAACTTTACCAAATAACGTTGTCAGGACCGATTCCACCGTTGTGTTAAACGAAGTTTAAAATTACATTTTTACATTAACAATGTCATTTTAATCTTCGTTTAACACATCAGTGGAATCGGCCCTTAATGTAAAAATGTCATTTTAAACTTCGTTTAACACATCAGTGAAATCGGTCCTAACAATGTCATTTTAATCTCCGTTTAACACAACGGTGGAATCGGCCCTAACCTCCTGCAAGTTACACAAAAACACGTTTCTATAAGGGTCGATTCCACCGTTGTGTTAAACGGAGATTAAAATGACATTTTTACATTGACAAAATGCCATTTTAATCTCCGTTTAACACAACGGTGGAATCAGCCCTTAGTAATTTAAACTTGGTTTAACACAACGGTGGAATCCACAAGTGGAATCCAGTGGAATCGACCCTTATACCAGTAATATTTATTGTTAAAGTATTATTTATATTTTCAAAGTTTTTGTATTCCTGTATGGGTCGAATCCACCGTTGCGGTAAACGGAGATTAAAATGACATTGTTAATGTAAAAATGTAATTTTAAACTTCGTTTAACACAACGGTGGAATCAGTCCTAATTGGTCTAAATAGTTGGATGAAAAAATAAACTATGAACAAAGAATTTAGATACAATTTTCTAATCTATTCATTACGAAGGTCTTTGAACTGTCATCTGGTTTCTGTCATTTGTTTGTCAAAAATAATGATTTATTTTCATTTTGACAGTAGCGGTGACAGTAGTTGTCAATAGAAATGTTAGTGTTTTAGACCTTTAATTTTATAAATTTAATTTATAAAATCGATGTCATCTATAATATGCCACATATAAGTATTTAACAAACTGGCCCCAAAAATGTTTTTGTCAATTCTAATCATTTCGTTCATTGGTTTGTATTAAATTACACATTTTGTTATACATAAATCAATTTCTTGTTTTCATAGGTTTTTTCGGACAATCTCATTCATCCTACCTGGAATTAAGCGATAATTTTTCAGAATTGAAGAAAAATGGTGGTCACTGGTTGATTAAGTTTTATGCCCCTTGGTGTGGACATTGCCAAAGACTAGAACCTGTTTGGGCTCAAGTTGGCGAAGCTCTAATCCATACAAATGTAAAAGTTGGACGTATTGACTGTAGCCACTTTCCTAAAATTGCGTCCGAATTTGGAATTCGTGGATACCCGACTATTAAGTTGTAAGTAAAGTACAAAATTACGTGTATCTGAATTAAATTGAGGTTATTATGATTAGCTTTAAACAGATTGGAACTTAAGCCAGACTTTGTAAACAGGAGTGCCTTTAGAAACACGACGCGTCTGGACTCTATTCTAATGTATGGGGACAGGCGAACCGGGCGAGGTTTTTAAACACACTCCTGTATTATATATAACAAGCAAACAATTAATGTCATATTATTGCAGTATAACAACAGATTCTGAGCACACATTCACTGGAGACAGAAACAAGGATGACATTATACAATTCGTATCTAGAGTAGCTGGGCCCCCTGTTAGAGAACTTGCAACAGCAAAAGATTTTACAGAAATTAAGCAATCCAGGCGAGTGTTTTTTGCATTTATTGGCGACAAAAGTGGAGAATTTTGGGAAACATATTTTGATGTAGCTAAGAGGTTTCAACCTTTCAGTCATTTTTATGTCTTAAAAGAAGAAGTTGCTAAACAATTACTCACTGTTCCACTGGTACCATCTCTTTTTGTATACCAAGATAATGAACCTAGTTATTTTTCAGGTAAGTATTTATTTGTTAGAGCAAAAATATAGCTCAAGGCCGTAGAGGTTAGGTTTTGTAATTTTTCATGTATTAATAAACTATAAAAACACATTTTTTTATCCAATTTATCTAGATACAATTAAGTATAATTTATAACCACCACAACATAAATTATATTGGAAAATATCATTGATATATAGTAAAAACAATGATGGTCTCAAATGGAAACCTTGTGGAACCCCGGAGAGTACGTCATATTGGATGTCTATGCATCCAATATGATGACCGTAAAAATCGATTTTCAAGAAATAACTTAAAAAATAATTTTCATAAAAATAATCGATTATTAACAAATAGTAGATTGTAAAAAAATAATCGATTGTAAAAAGCATCAACTAATTGTTTAGATAGAATTGACTAGATGAGGTTAGGTAAGACCTTTAAAGGATTTGTTTTTTAAAACTGACCAAACAAATCTAAAAATTACATTTTTCTACTTCGGTGCGTAAAGTATTTTCCATGGACTATTTAAAAAACTTACAGCTATACAGGGTGTTTCATTATAAAAGGTAAATATTTTATCCCTATATAGAGGTCACCCAGGGATCACGCAAAACCCATGTAGTATGGGTCTTGCGACCTTTATAACCGAGTTACAAGGTGTTTATTGAATTTGGCCCATCTCCAATCAACTAAAGGCCGCAGTTATTGAAACAAAGTATAACTATCAGGAGTACATCGCCAACTGTGCTGATATCAAAAAGTTCTATAAATACAGGGTGTTTCTAAATTCATACGATAAAATTCAGGAGGTTATTGCTCCTATCAAATTAAGATGGGCCTTTCCTATAACAAAATTTTCTCAGCCCACCCCTTTCCGAGATATCGCCCTTAAAAGGTGGTGACTAAAATGGAGTTTTTATTTTTTTTTTCTAAAATTTCAGTTAAGCTAGAAACTTGAAATTTTGTAATTTTCGTGCACTCGCAAAGAACTAACCACGGGTATTTTTTCAATATTCCTGTTACATTATAGGGGGGTGAAATTAGCAACCCTTACTTTATTTCATATCAAAACTTTTTTCGAGATGAAGTTTTATGAAATAAAATTATTACTTGAAATCTTTGTTTTATTTAAAAAAATAAATTTATTAAATTTTTTTCCCAAAACCAATAGCTGCAGAGAGAAAAAATAAACACCATAATTTATAATTTTTTTAATAAATTGAGTGGAAAACAGTAACGATGTAAAATGTAATACGATTCATAATAAATGCTGGAAATGACCACCTGTAGCCAAAGTACATTACTGAAATTTTAGAGAAAAATAAAAACTCTATTTTAGTCTGTCAATAACTGGACAAAACCTTAGATGCTGGTCTTCCTGCATATGTTATATACTTGGATTTTCCTAAAGCTTTTGATCCGAGGCAACTTAATAAATTGGGCAACGGACTACTTAGCCTCCAGACAATTTCGTGTAAGAGTTGGTAATAGTTTCTCTCAAATCTGTTGTCAGTGGAGTGCCTCAAGGATCAGTCCTTGGTCCCCTACTTTTTCTATTAGATACTGTCGAAATTTCTGTACACATCAAAAGTTGTTGCTCCTTCTACGCAGACGATACATAAATTTACGCTAATCTGAATGAGGACTATCAGTCTCTTCAATCTGATCTAAGTGCGGTATCAAAGTGGAGTTCAGACTGGTTATTACCGCTAAACGTTGATAAATGTGTTGTTCTTCATATCGGTAAAAACAATCCTAAATTGGTGTATAATAATAATGCCTTAAAGACAGTATCGTCCCAAAATAATCTCGGCGTTATCATTACTAAAGACTTAACGTGATCAGAGCATATCTTATCAGTAAGCAAACAATCAAACTCTCAACTATTCTTATTAAAAAAGACTTTTGGCAATGTTTCTCCCTTAACATTTTTGAAAATATACACAACATAATTCGTTTAGTGAGAACATCAGTGACGTAACTCAAAAATACACGTTTTTGACTTGTGTACTTCAAAAAATTGCTTAATGTAGCCCGCAACTGGTACATAACTGGCGAAATTGTAGTTCTACTAGTGTCCGCTCGGTCGCTGTAGTTGTCAGTAATGCTTATTTTTATTTTCACCTTCGAAGGCAATACTGACGAATGTAACATTATTAATATTCATTTACTTAAAAAAAAAACCTGTTACATTATAACTTAAAGATATTTAAAATTTAGAGAGAAAAAATCGGTAAGATAGCTCCAAACGTATAGCAAAAAAAAAATAATAATTTTCGTACAAACTTTAACCGCGTTTATCTTATATCAACATATTCGGAGTTAGGTCACTAATGTTCTCACTAGGCGATATGTTCGTCCTCGCCTGGAGTACTGTGGTCCTGTTTGGTTTCCCGTATTAATCTCGGATCAAAAAAAGTTGGAAAATGTGCAACGACTTGCGATAAGGCCTCCGTATGGTATAAGAAAGCCACCGTATGGACAGCGTTTGTCTACGGCTAATCCTACTCTTTTTAATGAGCGTCGACTGCGTGGTGATTTAATCGTTTGTTTTCGCGCAATTAGGCATATGTTCGGTGTCGATCTTTCGGATTTATTTGTATTAAATAATGACCTGCGCCTACGTGGGCACATGTTCAAATTAAAAAAAGGAAAATTTTAACTCTAGAGTTAGGCAAAAGTTTCTTTCAAACCGGGTTTTCTCCATTTGAAACAATTTACCTGATAACGTTGTATGCGCACCTTCTGATAATTCGTTTAAAAACAAATTTGATTCGTTAGGATAAGAATGTATATATCTCTATAGAGACAATAAATTATTATCACAACAAATTAAGTAATGTAACTTAACGTAATTTATTGTCTTTATACTTTCATTTTTTTTTAATATTAATTTATTAATGATTAAAAAAAAATTGTTTATTTTTAGTCAAAATTTTTGAATAATATGAGCCTTATAGGACTTCGGTTCTGAGCTCATGTTATTGAATAATAATAATTTCTTCCTTGCTACATAACTTTTGAATCACTCAGTATATTTTTCTTAATATTTGGCATAGATAATCTATACCTATAGGACAATTTATCGACACATTAAAAAATTTTAAAATCCAGGACTGGTTTAACAAACATTATAATTTGACCCACCCTAAAACAACACCCTATACATCAAATTTAAAAAAAAATATTTTCAAACTTTTAATTTTTTCGCATGCCGTTTTACTATCAAAATTTTAACGTTAAAATGTACATTATGAGAATTGTAGTTTATGCAAAATGTAGTTGAAGGGGTTTTAATTATTTTTTTTTGTGATCTGCTGGGTGACCTCTATATGGGGTTAAAATATTTCCCTTTCCCAATGAAACACCCTATATAGCTCATTGCATCTTGATTCAATTCTTTCAGCCTCTGACTCCAAAGTAATAGATGATCCATCTCTGAATGCTTCTATGAGTAAATGGGTGAACGAAGAAAGATTTGGGACTTATTTAAAAGTATCGCGGGGCAATTTAAACGACCTAATGCACCTTAATCGCTACGTGGTTCTGGCGATCGTAGATGAAAAATATTTACATGAACCTGACATGGCGAAATTTAAAGATATGATAGGCAACATCATCAAGACGAATAAGAGAAAGTATCGCAAAAGATTTATTTTCGGCTGGGTAGGGAACCCCGAATTTGCTAATAGCATTGCTCTGGATGTGGTACCATTGCCGTACCTTCTGGTTATAAATTCTACAAATCACTATCATCATGTACCTGACGTTGAAGATTGTTCAAAGATGACCGCTCGAGATGTTGAACTATTTTTGGAAACGATTTATAATCAATCTGCTTTTGTAAGTCATTGGTTAAAATTATTTTAAAATTTATATGTTTCACGTCCAATATTAATTTTTATTTTAGGCCTATGGTGGGAACGGTTATGGAACCCGCCTATACCGAGCATATTTTGAAGCAAAAACAGCCGTCATTGAGATGTGGCAAGGAAATCCCATATTGACAGCCATATTATTTACTATACCAGTTTTGTTTATCATTTTCATATTTTATTCTTTGTGTTTTGCGGATATTCTAGATAACGATGGCATTGAAGAGGACGAGGATGATGAGGATGCTGAAGAAGAGGCACTAATTGGTAGGTTTTCAAATTTAAATAAAAGTAAAATTTTAAAAACGCCAAATATAACACAAAAATAGTCAAAACGAATTCAGGGGACCCCAAAACGTAAAAATATATTGAAAAAAATCATGATTCCTATACTTTCCCTCTGTATACAGACAGGAAAATAAAAAAGGGGGATACAATAAAATAATTAACATCCCATAGCCATATGTGCAAGACTGTTCAAGTTTGTAATATATGATAAAACTATGTGCTTATTTTAGATATATATAAAAAATCTATAGATACAAATAATAATACTCATTTTCTTTTCAGAATCCCATCTAAAAAGCGAGTAAATGTACTGTAAAAAAATGTCTAGTCAATGGATGTATAGATGTATGTACTTAATTTATTGTTTGATAAGTGTACAAAATATTAAAATCAGTGTTGTATCAATTATTATTTAAGTTTTTAAATTGTTATAAATAAATATGTGTTAAAAGTCTTCATCATTGTTTGAATGTAAGTCACCCACTCCTAATGTTTATTTATCAACTAGCAACTGCCCAATTAAAATACAATTTTAATAAAAGGGAAAATTTAAAACCAAACCTACACTTAGAGAAATGTTGAAACAAAGAAACAAAAATTACCATAAAATTAACATAAACAAGAAAAAATAAAATATTAAAAAAAAGGTTAAATTAAATTATCTAGACACATCAAAATATCATACATGATTTAAGCTGGAATTTAAAGACTTTTTGATTATTAAAGCAGTTCAATCTATCAGAATACTGATTAGGAAATCTACCCGATCTTGATAGAAAAATTATGTCCGATGTCTAATATTGAAATGTTTATCTAGAATGAACATGAATATTGATTTTTCCTAATAGGTCTGGACTAAAACTATATGAGTGCAGTAGAATGTAGTAAGATCCTTGTGCATGCGTCTCATCTGTAGAGTGGTAATATTAAGAGAACTCTCAATATTTGAGTAATTAATATCAACTCCACGGTATTCCTTAAATGAAATTAATCTTCAAAATGTATGTTAAACTCTTGCAATGGCTTGAATATGAACATTGTAATGGGGGACCAGACATATGAACAGTAATCTAAATGGGACCTCACAAGTGAACAAAACATAATTTTAATGGATGATACCTCTAAAAAACCTTTAAAGCAGCATTTAATAAAACCTAGCATTTGAAGTGATTTTGAGACTACCATTGATATATGGGGTATATAAGATAAGTTGGAATCTAGGACCACACCCAAATCTTTTGATACCATTTCCAAAGGGCAACCATTAATATTGTAATTATTTGTTCTGTGCTACTTCTATTATGACTGAAGGCACTTTTTAACATTTCCAGTTGCTGAGACGATCTAAATCAGCATGCAGTTTTATATAATCAGATTCGTTCTTTATTCTCATATAATTTTAAGTCGTCTGCAAACCTTAGGAATAGGACAAAGACAAAACAGGATATAAATTAAACAGAAGTGGGCCAAGTGTTAACCTTAGGTTACACCTGATGGTACTTTAATTCCTATTGAATGGAAGCCCTGAATACACAATACCTGTACTCTTTCAGTAAGGTAAGAAGAAAGTCATTCAAGTAGGTCCTCCTGAATTCCCAAACTCTGCATCTTATTAATTAAAACTTTATGGTTAACCCTATCAAAGACTTTTGTATACACAGCATGTACTTGATTATCCTCCTTTAGGAATTCCAAGAGATAGTAAATGTTAAAAGGTCAAGCT